AACCTATCCATATAACATACTTTAATTATTTTGAACTCCTGTCCACAGCTTTGTGTTGTTTTTTTTTTTTTTTATAGATGCTATAGACACAAACCATCCGACATTTAAGAACGGCGGTGTTCGGGCTGTTGATTTAGATAATGTTGTACCCCGGATGTCAGTCGGATATGAACGCTAAGAAAGTGTTCTGGATTCCGAGATGAAATTCGGTCTCCAATGAATGACAAACGCAAGAATTAAATACAGTGTAACCCGGATATAAGAGAGTTGTCGGGACCGGAGAAGAAGTCTCTTATATCCGGGTTTCTCTTATATCCGGGTTTGGTCTATTTTGTTTAGGTAAATATGGGAACACTTTGGGGACCAGAGAAAATCTCTCCTATATCCGGGTTTCTCTTATATCAGGGTCTCTTATATCCGGGTTACACTGTATAAGAAATAAAATGTATTTACACAATAATACAAAGGGTAATACTGTTAGTAAATCCAGGAACGCGGTTAGTAGCAATAACATATAGATATATACAGTCTCGAAGTAGGACTTCCTTAGAGTCTACGTGCTTGTAACTGACTTCTACAAGCGGTTACCTCACACTATTACTCTACCCCCACTCAATCACAATCTCTGCTCACAATCTCTCTCTCTCTCTCTCTCTCTCTCTCTCTCTCTCTCTCTCTCTCTCTCTGTATAATGACTGACTCTGGGTATTTAACGGCAGCAGTCCAAGTAGCACTCTGGTCGAGTCCACTGATATGAAAAAAGGGGTGGACCACATAAGAAAGCAAAGTCAAAAATAAAACAGTCGACAGGGGCTAGGATCATCACATCCCGCCCATTAAACAAATCTCTTCAAAAAAATAAAATAAAAACAAAACATAAAATAAGTCAATAACGAACGTTGCCGCCAAAGAAAAAAATATAAAAAAAAAAAAGATTATGAATCCGGGAACCATCAGATTTATTTTTAAGAAGGCCGCCCATAAACACAGGCAAAAAAAAAACTATCTGAGGATACCGGCAGGCTCTCTCGACGTCCCTACCGTTACTTCAGTCAACTGACCCGACCCACAAATCCACTCGAGACTCACCCTCCTCAAAACGCCTACACAGAGACACTCCGCTCGCACCCTCTGTATCGGTAAAGTCAGATTCGCGGCTTCACTAATCCACTCCAGGCATCTCTCTCGACGTCAACACCGTGACAGCGGTCAACCGAACTGACAAGCGCATCAACTCCAGGTCTTACCAACTCTACTCTTTCAACAAAGCCTCCTCCCTCTCTTTTGTAACGTACGGTGGCCATTAATAATTAAGTATAGCTAAAGACTTCAATGTAAAAATAAAACTGTATTTAATTACAACTGCATATAAATACTTAACAAGAACAAAGAAGTAAAAGTCAACCAAATATAATAAACCATTTCAGTGAATACCTTGTTAGTTGCGCGGCTCGGCTTAACGTCGGGTAAATTCTAAAATCAAAACCAAAATCATCGACGCGCAATAATTCACACTAATTCGACTGGATAGTTCCACTCAATAGTCACTCAATATTCACCCCAGTCAGTAGCCTGACACCGCTATTTATACACCTGGCGGACAACATATATTCATAAGTCCAGTGTGTCACGGTCAAATCACGGTGTAGTTACTCATTTTCTTCCTATCTGACACTATATATATATATATTGTGACGTACGGTGGCCGTTAATAATTAACTATAGCTCAAGACTTCAATGTAAAAATAAAACTGTATTTAATTACAACCTCAAATAAATACTTAACAAGAACAAAGAGGGAAAAGTCAACCAAAGATAATTAGCCATTTCAGTGAAGACCTTGTTAGTTGCGCGGCTCGGCTTAACGTCTCGTAAATTCTAAAATCAAAACCAAAATCATCGACGCGCAATAATTCACACTAATTCGACTGGATAGTTCCACTCAATAGTCACTCAATATTCACCCCAGTCAGTAGCCTGACACCGCTATTTATACACCTGGCGGACAACATATATTCATAAGTCCAGTGTGTCACGGTCAAATCACGGTGTAGTTACTCATTTTCTTCCTATCTGACACTATATATATATATATTGTGACGTACGGTGGCCGTTAATAATTAACTCTAGCTCAAGACTTCAATGTAAAAATAAAACTGTATTTAATTACAACCTCAAATAAATACTTAACAAGAACAAAGAGGGAAAAGTCAACCAAAGATAATTAGCCATTTCAGTGAAGACCTTGTTAGTTGCGCGGCTCCGCTTAACGTCTCGTAAATTCTAAATCAAAACCCAAGTCATCGACGCACTATAATGCACACTAATTCGACTGGATAGTTCCACTCAATAGTCACTCAATATTCACCTCAGTCAGTAGCCTGACATCGCTATTTATACAGCTGGCGGAAAACATATATTTATAAAGTCAGAGTGTCAAGTTCGAACCTCGGTGTCGGTAGTTACTCATTTTCTTCCTATATTTTTCTTTTCTTATATGAAACTTGCCTACATTTAAAGAGAAATCAGCTCGCATCCGCTGTATCTACAATTGAAAAGAATTTTATATTCTTGGCATCTTTTCCTTTCGCCACGACGGCGTTACTGTTGTTTTGTTTGTTCTTGCATGATACTATACACGTGTTTATAAGAGATATCGCGAGAGCGTTTGACACTCTTTGGCATGCTGGCTTACTTCACAGGCTGAAGTGATATAGTGTCTTCGGTTGAATTCTTGATTTGAACCAATCTTAATAAATCGCGTAATGAAAATTATCTAGAATGGCCTCTCTTCCAGATCATTTTTTTTTTCATTAATATGTGTGCTCCTCAATGCTCTATCCTTGGACCTACTGCGTTTCTTACCTTCATCAACGACCTTGCTAGTGTCATTAATTCCCGACTAGATATCTATTTTGATGACACATCTATTTAATCCTGTCTGAATAGGAAATCCAATAGTCAAACTTTGCAGACTCACTTGCAACAAATCACATCGAACTTTCCACTTAAAATCCGGGTTGACTGCCGCCACAAATTATTAATTAAACTCATTATTTTTGTAAAATATTTTCATTATAAAAATACATTGAAAATTCCTTGTTATTCAAACATTTGCCTTTTGTCTTTTATCACAAATGTTTCTTGTTGTTTTCTCTTGTTGTTTTTGCATTTTGCTTAACACATTCGTAGAGTAAAAAATTGTATGGATTGATTTGGGCCGTCAACACCATTAAATAAATGGTAACCACCAAACTTCCCACTACAAGCGCATGCTTCACACACATATCGGCGTACATATTAAACTGAACTTTGCAGACTCACTTGCAAGAAAATAACTCCAAACTTTGCAGGCTCATTTGCAACAAATCACATCGAACTATTGGTCTCTTCATGGCCACAACAAAGAACATTCAATTTCAACAAATATATGTATCTACTGTATAAATATATGTATCTACTGTATAAATATATGTATCTACTGTATAAATATATGTATCTACTGTATAAATGTCATTATCATTTTTAGCTTGGTTGTTTTCCTTTTCTGCGAAGTTCATTTCTTCGTGTTGTTTATAATGTTGCATTGTAATTTGTGGACATGACACTCGGATTTTATTTTTCCACCTAAAATCCGGGTAGACTGCTCCCACAGGTGGGGGCACTCAGATCAAAAACAGCAGAAATTAGCCTCGTGTTCACGGAGATAAAAAGAAGCATATGTCACAGAAATAAAATATAGGCATGGTAAATTGTACGTTAATTCATACAGTTTATTTATATTTTCTGTGTGTATTGGTGCATGTATTTTTTAGGTTACAATTGTTTTATGGTACATGTGATAAAAGGGATAAGTCACTCCGTATTATTACACACCCTATTAAAAAGAGAATTTATTACACGTGTTGACTGCCCGAGGGTTAGTGGTGAAGAGATTGAATTTAACGTCTTTTGGCGGGATGTCCGTATTTCCGACAGGAACAACTCTTGTTGCATACTGGGAGAGTTTTATTATTCTTATTTTTTATTCAATTTATGTTAAACAAAAGTTTAAATAGTATTGTTTTGTTTTATTTCATTTATAATTTTTATTATTATTTTATTCTTATTTATTTATAATAATAATAATAATAATAATAATGTCCCTATGCAATAAAAGAAAAGGGTTCAGGAAGACAGAAGATAGCGATTGAGGTTTCATTTAAAATTTGAAGGTCATAGATGGCAGGAGAGCAAGTAACCGGAAGTGAGTTCTCGAGAAGAGAAGTGAAAGAAACTATTAGAAAAGAACTTACTGTTAGATCTCGAGCCATTTCAAAAGCAAAACGATGAGACCAAAGTTTATTTTTAAATATTTATATATTTCCTATTGTTTAATTTATTTTATATATTTTTTTAAACAGCCATGGCATCGGAACGTTAGGTGGCGATGATTGAATAAAATTTTAAATGACAAAAAATAAAAGTAATATATTCAGCAAGCTCTAAGTATTTATTTTCTTAATTTAATTTTTAAACACATTATCATTGAACAAAACTGGACATTTTTTTTTTATCTACAATTGTTTTTATTAACGGGGATGTTAATTGCTATATATTTTGCTATCCGACGGCAAGGATCGAACCCAAAATGATAAGGTTATTGAAGAAAACTAAAAGTGTTTAAATTCAACACTTTTAGTTTCCTTTAACAACCTTATCATTTTGAGTTCGAATCTTGAAAAGGATTTATTTAAAAATTAAAAATCCTTTTACGAGATGAGCCACGACACCTACCCCAATAAGCAAGCGAAGTCCCAGCCTCGCTGTGACACAAACAGAAAAAAAAACCTCAGGACCTTGTCAAAGAAATCAGTTAACATGGGAGGCGGTAACCTATGCAATGTGTCTGTTTAGTAAATAATACGAAAAGGAAAGAAACATATATGCATCAGAAGAGCCAAGTTTTTATTGACGTAATAAGTCCACGAAAAAAAAAAAACAATCTGCTAAAGTTCATTATGGACTCTCCCGGGTGGGAACCTGAGCTGATGACAATTCGGCTGGAGGGTAAAGACGTGTATCCAGCCCGGATTCTTGGTGGAAATATAGATGCTTTTTCTTCACCGAAGTTTGTTTTGGTGAAGACGAGGTAAGAAAAAATTTGGACGGTCAATGGAAAGATGATATATAAAGTATTACTGACCGAATTACTTTTTTTTTAAATTTAGCCGATCGTAGTGACTTAAGTGTAAAAATTTTATTGTTACAGTTTACAAACCCAACAAAGCAAAATCTTAAATATTTTTTCGGACTCAGTAATTAATATTATTAAAAAAAAAAAAAAAAAAAAACAGCCCATAAAAAAACAGATCTTGTTCGTTTTGTAGGCTGTAATTAAGAAAACTTTTTAGTTTATACACTTTAACAACCGACACGAATAAACAAAAACACATTTTTTTTAAGTTTTTAAAAGTTAATTAATTCTAAATAAAACTAGATTCTCACTTTTAAGTTTTATTTCATTTTTTTTTTTTTTTCACATCTAAAAAGCTAAATTAAAATTTAAAATAAAATAATTACTTTTAAAAATGTATTTTTTTAAATCTTAACATTTTAAATATTATTGTAGATAGAAACAAACTTCATTTGTGTTTAGTTTCGCTGTTCATTTCTAAAAAAAAAAAAAAAAATAACTAAAAAGTGTATATTTCTTTTCTTAGGGATATTTGTGTTTTTTATTATTTATTTATTTTTGTTTTATTTTTGAAATAGTCGACCATTTTCTATGGGGAAATTAACTTCTGTTTTATTTTAATAGTTTTTTTTTTCTTCTTAGGTAGAGTTCCATTTACGATAGGTATTTTTATTTGAAACACACGCCCACTGAAGCGGAATGTCGTACAAGAAGGTCAAGTTTACAGTGGGTTGGTAGACCACGTGTACTACAAACAAACATTTAACTCTCTCTATCCCTCCCGTGGTACTTCCTCTTCTTGCCTTAGGCACCAGGTAATAATCTTAGCCCCCTCCTGAACGAGAAATAGAATCTGGATGGGAGATGGCACCCTGGTACTCGAGAGCATTTAAATTTTAAATTACCTGAGGTCCAGCTGGTCCAGGTAAAAGTAAAATTTTAAATGATAAAATGGATCCTTCTTTTTTGTGTCCGTTGTTTGTTTTTCTTTCGTTAGTATGGTTGAATGTCACTAATTAATTTTTAAAAAAAAATGTAAGTAAGAAGATGCATTTTTTACCTTCTCTGCTCTTATGAACTCAATTCGTTGTGTTACGAAAAAAATTCTTTTTCGACTTCCTTATTTTAATAAATAAAAATAAATAACTCATATTGTATAAAGGCGGACATAAATTCAAGGTTCTTTTTGCGGTTGAAAAACGAACACTGTCCTAATGTCGAGTACATGATCTGGGTTCATTTTGGCGCCCCAAGTCAGTTGTCTGAATATAAATGGTTTATAACTACTCATCCCAGGAATTCAAACAAAAATTATCCAGTTTTTAAGTTAATAATTTGGTTTTGTAGCATGTTGAGGTATTGCATAAAACTATTCTTAACACAGTTTGTTCTTGGTTCAATTTCCTCCAAAATCGTTTATATAACTGACTAGCAGTAGAGTCCGGCGTTGCCCGGGGATGTAACAGTAAGAGATAGATCAAATATCGACCATCATAAAGACTGAAAAATAAAATTGACAAAGATTATTCTTTAAGGTTGATGGACACGCATGTCTTAATTAGTTTTTTTTTCTTTTTTTTTTTTTTTCTTTTTATTTTTTTTACGAATTGGTCAAACTCAAACAAAAACATTGTTTTCAATCGTTATGAGTCTATCGATTGAATAGAATTTTCTTATAAACAATTGTCTTGCAAATGGAATTTTTAAAGCATTCTGAATGTAAAAAAAAAAAGCAAAAAGTGTGCAAGACAATAAGAAACACTACCTGCCAAAAGAAAAAAAGTGAAGTTTTTTTGAAATCGATTGAAAAATGTAGGAAATCCGATCCCATATATAAACGAACACACACACACAAACAACCTGGGTTTTAAGTATAAAATATGAGTTGTCCCCCTTTCATTCTCGCGATGGCTCTTAATCGTATTTTCAAATTGATTTCATGCAAAAACAATTGTGTTTTTCCAATTTTTGGCGCTGTCAGAACCACTGCAAGGTAATTTTACGTAGTCCTGTGAAGTTTTGTTGAAATCGGTTGAAAAATGTAGGAAATCCGATCCAATATATAAACGAACAGACACACACACACACAGAGACAACCTGGGTCTTATAATAAGTATGATCCATACACTTGGGGTACTTAAGTGTTTAGTATTTGTTGTTTTAATTTCATGTTACATAGATATGCGATATCTCACATCTGTTAATTCTCTTTGCCTTCGTGTTGCTTATGCATTCTTCCCACTGACTCTGATAATGACTTTTTTATCACTACTCTCATGGGAAGTGCTCGGACGAACTACACTCCTTGGCTCCACCAGTTCTAATCTTGACAACTAAGACCCTGCATGTGACTCGAATCGGAGCAAATCACTCTTATTCCCCCCCCCCATATTCCATTGGTGAAAAATAAGTTCCACTCGAACAGTGGATGTTTCCCTGATCACTATAAACTTAACCTGTTCAAGTCTAGAGTTAACCATTATCTGCCCCTCCTATCCATATGAACTACCCCTGAACATAACCTTCTACCACAAGTAGCCCTCAGGCCTTGTACAGTCCTAACCTTACTGTAAAAAAAAAAAACACTACCTAACCCAGGGATTGAACTCAAAATTGCCATGAAACTAGATATGCTTTAACCAACACATTCGATCTGGACATGACTCTTAACAAAATGTGATTAACAATCACAATAAGCCTGTTGATCTGAATATAAAGATGTGTTATAATGAAATTTTTTTTTTTTTTGTGTTATTGTAAAAACTCAGCTTGGCATGAGCCAGATGTACCTGAGCAGGTAATCTTGCCTTGTGTACTTCATTTTTGTGTGTTCAATATGACCATGATGGTCAAGAACAAATATTGTGCATGCCGGCTGTATTCCAAATTTTGACACATTCACTTTCTGACTATCATTTAAAAGTCCTTGAGACAATTTATATTAAATCAAGACCAGAATTCTTATGCAAACCAAGGATTGACCTTTTTAGTTATTAAGTTATAAAAGCTTTCTTTTTTTTTAAGTTAATTATTTTTTTTATTGTGAATAGCTTTTAAAGTTAAAGGGGACCACAAACCCCATCAAAAATGTCAGAGGTCTCACTATACATGAAGTCGTCTTATACACAAGTATATACAGTAATTCTTGGAACTAGACCTTTTTAGTTATCTATATTTATAAAAGGCAGGATGTGTGTGTGTGTGTAACAAATGCGCGGCTGCAATTTTCGACAGATTTGCAGCAAAATTTACATGCACATGCTCCAAATTAGCGGGAAGGCCAAGACCGACTTTGCATTTACCAACTCCCATCGATAGTGGAAATAATCGATTTTTTTCATGCTTCTACGGCAGTTTTCATGTAGTTTGCAGCCATTTTCTACTGGCCAGAGTGATAGCCTACAGCTGGCTCCCACGAATAGGCAGGAAGATTCTATTGGCCAGCATGAGAGCCAACAGCTGACTAACATGAATGATAACTAGCATGCTAGCATGCAAAAAAAATCGATAGCTGCATTTGTCACAAGTGGGGAAAATTTAAATCTGCATGGCACTTTACTCCAATTGGCTCATTCGCTTGCTTAAACTCAACATTGATTCTGATTCTGCAGAACTGGGTTGGGTGTGGAAAAAATATTTGTTGTTAACATTCTTTTTTCATTTGCTTTTTCCTGGTATGAGTCCTTTTTTAAAGCTGATCGTTTTGTGTTCATTTTGTTTAGTTCTTTTTTCGTAACAGATTTAATGTTTAGTATAGAGCTTAGAAAAAATTTGCAGTGTGAGATAGGCAAGAAGTAAGGCATGTGGCAACATCAGCACGGCAAAGGGCACTCCTTTAAAGGCAAGGAAGGGCAAAAATATTTTAAGTCAAGTGATAGCGATTGCTGTATGTCGTACGATTTTTGAATCAAGCACAGGCAACGCCGGGCCATGCTGCTAGTTAAATTATTTCTTTTTTTTTTTTAACTTATGTTTTTAGTGAAAGTATTGTGTATACTCATGTATTATGCAACCTTTGAAGACTTTATTTTGAAGCTTATTTGCCTACAGTAAATGGATATGTAGTTTGGTCAACAACATAGCCAGGGCCACAGTACATACACTAATTTTACATCTCATGTATGATGCGACCCCCTTAAAATTAGCTTCTAAATTAGGTCTTCTTATGTCACATGATACACGAGTATATATGGTAGCTTTTAAAGTTAAAATTCACTGCCCCTTCCCCAAAATATCAGGTTTCACACTATACATGAAGTCGACTTATACACAAGTATATATAATACTCTTGTGAATATATTTTTGCTACGTGTGTATTTTCTTTCCTTATGTTTCCCTTTTTTTAGTTGGTGTGTATAATATTTTAATTTTCTTCATCAAGTTCTGACAAGTAAGGAGCGATAACCGGTTAGCTCATTTTATTGTAATTTTGTTTTTCATTTTTTTTTTCTTTCCATTTCTCTTTTCATATTAACAAAAATTGTGGGATATTTAATAACAAAAGTGATGGACACATAAACAAAAATAAACTAAATTAAATTGCCAAGACATATATATATATATATATATATATATATATATATATATATATATATATATATCCTAAGACATTTATGTATATATATATATATATATATATATATATATATATATATATATATCAGGTCATCCCATAAGTTCTGTCTGAGTTTTAACTTTTTGTGAAAATGAATGAAATTTAAAGAGTATTTTATAATGTCTAATGGAGCTGAACATTATTTTTCTGTTTAGATGCAATTAAACTGATCAAATTTTATTTCAGAGAACAATAAAATTAAATTTTGTTTGATTAAAACCCTGCTAACATGGAAGTACCCAAGAATCATTTGAGGCACATAATGCTTTATGAGTTCAAGAAAGGAAACTCAGCAGCCGAAGAGGCTAGAAACATTCACTCAGTTTATGGAGAGGAATGTGTGAATGAAAGAACTTGCAGAAGATGGTTTGCAAAATTCAGAGGAGGAGATTTCACCCTTGAAGATGAAGATCGAACCGGATGTCCAGTTGAGTTTGATGAAAAGCTTCTTGAAGCAGCCCTTGAAGAAAATCCTGCTTTATCAGCTGAGGAATTGGCAGTGGTTCTCAGTTCAAACCATACAACTATTCATCATCATCTTCAACAACTTGGAAAAGTTCCTAAACTTGGAAAATGGGTGCCTCATGAATTGTCTGAAAACAACCTCACTTCCCGAGTTGACATCTGCTCTTCTCTCCATTCTCGCCAACTTGTTTCACCTTTTTTGGATAGACTTGTGACTGGTGACAAAAAATGGATCTTTTATCGAAATGTTAAGCATTGCAGACAGTGGTTTGGTAAAGGGGAAGGACCCCCAGCCACAGCCGAGAAGGGAACTTCATGGTAAACGGTTCTTCTTTCAATCTGGTGGGATCACCAAGGAATAATCCACATTGAATTCTTACCACCTAATGCAACAACTAATGCTCAAATATACTGTCAGCAATTAGAGCGTTTGAACCAAGTTTTGAGGAAAAAGAGACCTGCTCTAGTGAATCGAAAAGGGGTGATGTTTCATCAGGACAATGCGCAACCCCACACAGCAAGAATCACATCACAAAAGATCGAAGAACTTGGTTGGGAGAAAATTCCTCATCCACCTTATTCTCCCAATCTTGCTCCTTCAGACTACCATTTGTTTTGTAGCATACAGAATCATTTGGAAGAAACAGCTTTTGTAACACAGGAAGAGGTTAAAACTGACATTTGTGAGCTCTTCGAATCAAAGCCAAAAGAATTTTACAGTAATGGAATTAGTAAGCTTGTTAATAGATGGAAGGATCATCAGGGAAAATACATTGTTGATTGAATCTGTAATTAAATGTAACATTTGGTCACTTGCTTTCTTTATTCAAAATTCGGACAGAACTTATGGGAAGACCTGATAGATGGAAGGAAGTCATAGATAATCAGGGAAAATACATTGTTGATTGAATCTGTAATTAAATGTAACATTTGGTCACTTGTTTTCTTTATTCAAAATTCGGACAGAACTTATGGGATGACCTGATAGATGGAAGGAAGTCATAGATAATCAGGGAAAATACATTGTTGATTGAATCTGTAATTAAATGTAACATTTGGTCACTTGTTTTCTTTATTCAAAATTTGGACAGAACTTATGGGATGACCTTATATATATATCTTGACAAGACATATATATATATATATATATATATACCCAAAACATATGCAAAATAATGGTTAGTAAACTAGTCTCTTACTCAAAACAGTAAGAAGAAAATACACACGTATTAATGATATATTGATGCAGATACATTTATAAACAGATCACGCTATCAACCAATCCTATTGTTTGAATAAGGACTGTTGTCTTGATTTAATATAAAATGATTTGAGAACTTTAAGTGATTGTTGGTTTGTGATCAGCTCAAAACAGTCAACATATCCTCACTGAATGATGATGTACATCTAGTAGGATAATTATCTTAATTTCCTCAATCAAGTTCTGTCAAGTGAGGAGCGATAACCGATTTGGTCATTTTAATTCTTTATTTTGTTTGGGGGAACGAAGAGGGGATGGGGTTAAGTATATTAGATTGTTTTTGAAAAATCTATTTTTGATAGTTTGTCTTTTGTTTCATTAATAAGTAATGCATTAAAAAGAGACGTAATTAAAAGGGGACAGAAAATATCATAGATTTCAGGGGACTGGTAAAGTTGGTGCAAAATTTTCAAAACAAACATCTGCCAGAATCCCCTCTTGAAAATCAACATCTTTCTTCTTCTCGACCAATGTTAAAATTAATTCATAGTATTGGCTCACCTGTTTTCCAAACAAATTCTGTAATTTATCAGTTGGGATGTCAGTATAATATATGATTACATAGGAAGGACCAATCAAATCCTAGCAAAAAGAAGTGCCCGACACGTACCAGCGTGTATTCGAAAAAGTCAAATTCTGTTACACACAGGTTTGAAATCTCAGAACATCTTACTAAAAAAATTGAGAATGTGCATCATTTTTTCAGTTTTGAGCCGATCACATTAAAAGTCCTCGAGACATTTTATATTAAATTCAAACAACTGAACAAACAAACAAAACAAAACAAACAAAAGAACTCATTGTTTGGACTTAGTGTGACCTGTCTATTGATATGCCTGTGCCAATATATCATTGGCAAGTGGGTATTTTTTTTCATCATGCTTCCTCTTTTTAGTTTGTGTGCACAGTATTTGAATTTCCTCAATTGAGTTCTGTCAAATGATGGAGCGATAACCGGTTAGCACATTTGATAATTTTTTTTTTGTTTTGTTTTTTTTTTGCGGGGGGGGTAAGTATATTAGATTGTGTTTGTGAAACATCTGTTTTTGATAGTTTGACTTCTTTTGTTTCATTAATAAGTAATGCAGTAAAAAGAGACATAATTAAAGGGGGGGAAAAGAAATATCATAGATTGCCATAGACTGGCGAGGTTGGTGGGAGATTTGCTAAACAAATATCCACCAGAGTCGGGCAAAATTATCTTGCTGCTAATTCACACATTCTCTTCTTGACCAATATTAAAATTAATTCATAAATATGGCTTACCTGCTTTTCGAGCAAGTTCTGTAATTTATCAATTTAAGTGTCAGTGTGAAGCTGGCTACATAGGTAGGACCACTCAAATCCTAGCAAAAAGAAGTGCTCAACATGTGCCAGTGTGTATTTGAAAAAGTCAACTTTCATTATATATAGGTTTGTAAACTCAAAACATCTCATTAAAAAGGTTGGGAATGTGCATCATCTTTCCATGAAGACATGTTCTCAGTTTTGAGCTGATCAGATTAAAAGTCCTCAAGACATTTTATACTAAAATCCAAACAACTATTCTTATGCAAACAAAAGGATTGGCTGTTTGGACTTAATGTTTATAGACATATCTGTATTAATATATCATTGATATTGGTTTATTTTCTTATCTTATGTTTCTCCTTTCGCATTCATGTGCACAATATTTTAATTTCTTTGATCAACTTTTGACAAGTGAGGAGCAATAACCAGTTAAAACATTCTATAGTAGTTTTGATTTTTGGGAATTGATAATTTTTTTTTGTTTTTTTTTTTTTTTTTGTACTTTCTAATAAAATCTTTTTTTTTTTTAGGAATTTGTGTTTAGAAACACTGTATTTTAGACTTTTTGTCAATATATGTATTTTTAATTTTTTTTTTTAAGGTGGATGTCAGATAATGAGGCACGAAATTGTTACAACTGTGTCGTCAAATTTACCCAGATCCGCCGCCGTCATCACTGTCGACAATGTGGCAAGATTGTCTGCGGGAAATGCTGTAAAGAAAAGGTCAGCAAGTCCACTTTAATATTAAAACTAGTTTCCTACCAGCCACCAAGTCCACTTTAATCAGACATCTCCTTAACTTTGCTTTGTAAATGATTCCTTCATAAATTATCATCCTGGGTAAGATGTTAAACTACATCCGTGTTCGGGGGTAAGACAATAAACTACATCCAGCAGCAAGGCCTCTGATAAGGGAGGTTTTGAGGTGTGGAACCACCTCTGAATTGCTGGTGTTCCCAGGTCCACCCTAGACCAGGTTGGTAGCACCTGTTAGGGTCCCAGCTAAAAAATAGTTGCTATTACCAGGAATACTTTTTTTTTGCAATACAATTTTGAAGGAAAAAATTACCAGAAACAGATTTTTAACAAAACAAAATTTGTAAGCAATAAAAAACATCTCATTAAAACAATTGAGGATGATATGCCATAAAACAAAATAAACCAAACCAATCTAAACCAAGAACACATATTCTATTCAGAATCTATCCTAAAAATGATCAGATTAAATAACCCATTGAGGTTGATATGCGGTAAACAAAATAAACCAAAAATCTAAACCAAAGAATACATGTTCTATTCATATGAATCAATCCTAAAAATATTGTCAGCATTAAATAACCCATTGAGGTTGATACCATAAAACAAAATAAACAAACCAATCTAAAAAGAATACATATTCTATTATTGAATCAATCCTAAAAAATATTTTCATTAAATAACCCATTGAGGTTGATATCTAAAACAAAATAAACCAAACCAATCTAAACCAAAGAATACATATTCTATTTATGAATCAATCCTAAAAATATTGTCGGCATTAAATAACCCATTGAGGTTGATATGCCGTAAAACAAAATAAACCAAACCAATCTAAACCAAAGAATACATATTCTATTCATATGAATCTATTAAAAATTTTTGGGAATTAAATAACCCATTTTTGATATTAAAACAAAATAAACCAAACCAATCTAAACCAAAGAATACATGTTCTATTCATATGAATCAATTAAAATTATTGTCATTAAATAACCCATTTTTTTTGAATTAAAACAAAATAAACCAAACCAATCTAAGCCAAAGAATACATATTCTATTCAAAAATCCTAAAATATTTTCCATTAAATAACCATTGAGGTTGATATGCAAAAACAAAATAAAGCAAAAATCTAAACTGTATGTTCATTAGAATCAATCCTAAAAATATTGTCATTTTAAACCCATTGAGGTTGATATGCGTAAAACAAAATAAACCAAACCAATCTAAACCAAAGAATACATATTCTATTCATATGAATCTATCCTAAAAATGTTGTCGGGATTAAATAACCCATTGAGGTTGATATGCCGTAAAACAAAATAAACCAAACCAATCTAAACCAAAGAATACATGTTCTATTCATATGAATCAATCCTAAAAATATTGTCAGCATTAAATAACCCATTGAGGTTGATATGCCATAAAACAAAATAAACCAAACCAATCTAAGCCAAAGAATACATATTCTATTCATATGAATCAATCCTAAAAATATTGTCAGCATTAAATAACCCATTGAGGTTGATATGCCGTAAAACAAAATAAACCAAACCAATCTAAACCAAAGAATACATATTCTATTCATATGAATCAATCCTAAAAATATTGTCAGCATTAAATAACCCATTGAGGTTGATATGCCGTAAAACAAAATAAACCAAACCAATCTAAACCAAAGAATACATATTCTATTCATATGAATCTATCCTAAAAATGTTGTCAGCATTAAATAGCCTATTGAGGTTGATGTAAACAAAAATAAACCAAACCAATCAAAACCAAAGAATACATGTTCTATTCATATGAATCAATCCTAAAAATATTTCAGCATTAAATAACCCATACAATTTTGATATGCCAAAAAAAATAAACCAAACCAATTAAGCCAAAAACAAAATATTCATATGAATCAAAAAAAATGTTGTCAGCATTAAATAGCCTATTGAGGTTGATATGCCGTAAAACAAAATAAACCAAACCAATCTAAACCAAAGAATACATGTTCTATTCATATGAATCAATCCTAAAAATATTGTCAGCATTAAATAACCCATTGAGGTTGATATGCCATAAAACAAAATAAACCAAACCAATCTAAGCCAAAGAATACATATTCTATTCATACAAATCTATCCCAAAAATGCTGTCGGGATTAAATAACCCATTAAGATTGATATGCTGTAAAACAAATTAGACCAAACCTTCATAAATTAAGATTTATATGTTAATTCATGATCAGCAAGCAGTTTTTAAAGATGTCAAGTTGATGCAAAAGTTGTCCTCATGTTTTCCTTTGCAAAATCCATCATTAAAAAAAACATGGTCAACTACTTGTACCACTCCAGAAAACACAGTATTATGTGACTGCTTCTGAACTCTGTCAAGGCTGGAAAGGAAGGATTGAGCTGCTCCTACCTAGATATGGCAGTAATATTTCATTTCTGGGGGTCTAATCTGGCTTTTGTAAATATAGAGCATGGCAGGTGGTATCAGGTACTTTCTGGAGTGATATAAGGAACCAACAATTGACCTGCACCACTCGAAAAAAAAAAAAAAAAGTCTTAAAAATTCTCTGTATTTATCTTGATACCATTATCAACTTTGAAGAGACTTATAACTTATTCACAATTTATAAGTAAAGAACAATGCATAGGTTACTTTCATGGTAATTGTTCTGATAAGACTTCCTATAGACTTTATGAATTTCAGTGCAGAACAAGATCGGTAGCAAGATCTCCTCATTGTACAGCTGAAATGGCAAGATGTAGCCATAAGTTCTATGCTAACAGTTTCTTCTCTCGCACTTTTTGCTTGTGGAATTATTTTCCAGCTTCTTACTTCTCAGTCAAATTTGATCTTCAAAAATTTAAATGCAATGTCAATCATTATCTACTGTCTTCTTGGTTCCTTTTCATTTATTGTTCTCAATCCTTAATAGATTTTTTTTTTTTTTTTTATTTTTGTTTTTTTTGCTCATATTCACTCCCCCTCAGTAACTCCCTGCTTCTTAGTGGCTTTGTTGCCTTACCTAAGGTGAAATATTGCCATGCTTAAAGTGAAATATTGCCTTGCTTAAAGTGAAATATTGTCTTAAGATGAAATATTGGCTTGCTTAAAGTGAAATATTGGCTTGCTTAAGGTGAAATATTGTCTTAAGGTGAAATATTCCCTTGCTTAAAGTGAAATATTGTCTTAAGGTGAAATATTCCCTTGCTTGAAGTGAAATATTGTCTTAAGGTGAAATATTCCCTTGCTTGAAGTGAAATATTGTCTTAAGGTGAAATATTCCCTTGCTTGCAGTGAAATATTGTCTTAAGGTGAAATATTCCCTTGCTTGAAGTGAAATATTGTCTTAAGGTGAAATATTCCCTTGCTTAAAGTGAAACGTTGCCTTGCTTAAAATGAAAAAGTACTTATCTGGTTGTGGAAGATAAAATTTTACACATTTTCTGTTCTTAAGCAAACTACTTAAATAAAGGGTTGACAAATGGTCAAAGAGAAGTGAAAATCAGGAAGGAATCCAGGAATAAGAAATTGGACAGGAGAATGTCAGGAGTTTCATGTGATATGATGCCGATCTTTACTGTATCCAAAAATAGCTGTCATTACTTAATAATCCATAGTATCTTCAAAATCCATCTAATCATCAAAATGCCATTTTTTAATGGTTTTATCATTTCACCCCAAGCAAGTCAATAAATTCACTAAAATGCAATAATAATGAAATAAATTGAGAAAACATTAATGAAGAGAGAGAAAGAGAAAGGGCAATAAATGAACAGGGTTCAAGGAGATAGAAGATGATGAGTAACATTAAGTTTTAAATTTTCAAACATTGTAGTTGTGTTATGGTAATTTACCCACGCGTGCGTGGATTCTCCCAGCTATAAATAGGAGCAGGTACTGCCTTTTGGAGACGGAAGTTTTCAGCAGTCACCTCTGACAGTCAAACCAAACATTCTTGCTGTAGTATATGTTTGTATTACTGTTTCGGTTAATATATTTGTTTAACTCAATTCCTCTCTTTGTGTCTTTATTTCTGGCCTTAATAAGGCCACAACATAGATAGATAGATAGATAGATAGATAGATAGATATGACCAAAATTCAAGATAAATAGATAGATACGAACAGAATCAGAAATAAATATATAGAATGAGATAGATAGATAGATAGATATGGTAATTTATCCATGCACGCATGGATTCTCCCAGCTATAAATAAGAGCAGGTACTGCCTTTTGGAGGGGGAGTTTCCAGCATATTCTTGCTGTAACACTCTCATTTCTATATGTTTGTATTACTGTTTCTGTTAATATGTTTGTTTAACTTAATTCCTCTCTTGTGTCTTTATTTCTGGCCCTAACAAGGCCACAACAAGTTGACAGGAATACAAAAAGCGAAAAGAGAGTTCCAAAGATGAGAAATGTCAAATGTCAGAAAATTAATTACAGTTAAATCTAGCAATTCAAAAACTTAAATGATGAGACCCAACTGCCAATCCAGTACTATGCTTAACTTCATGAAGTCGAAGTACCAAAGAGGATATCTTATCAGAACAATTGCCATGAAAATAATGATTGATTCATTTTCTACAGGTTATTTAAAGCCAGAAAATATTTTTAGATTGCAAGAATTTTGAGATAATAATGGTTTACTGATTCAACTATTACTAGTTAACCTATAGCTGGGGTGGAGAAAGGTGGATTCATACCTTTCCCAAGGGTATGTGCATGTAAGTGAATATAATGAACCCAATGCGAATTGGAATGTATCCCTCTAATTAACATTTCTGGGCCATTATCTATTACACCAACTCATCCAAGTTTACAGCACTAGGTATTCCAAAGCAGTCACCCATCTAGGTATTGACCAGGATTGCTGTTGCTTAACTTCAGTGATCATACAGGAACCAGTGTTTCAACATGATGTGATCATAAGCCATGAAAATAATGAGATGCCAGGTTAGGATCAATAACATTGCATATTCCTCTTTGGATGATGTGAAGTAAGTAGCCAGTATATCTTCAACTGTGTAATAAACCAGTAATTTACTTTGGCTTATGCCAAAAGGGAGCACTGATGAAGCTTTTATAAAGATGGAACTTTTTCACCAAAACTTTATTGCACATTCTGGTCCGATTCTCTTTCATCAATACATTTAAAAAATTTTTTTTTTTTGGCCAGTTTCTTCTCCAACTTACGTCAAAAGATTTAGGGTAAATTTATCATGATACAGTCTTAAAAGTGAAACTTGCTAGAAAATATATACCATACTCATATTAAGACAAAGCAAGATTGCCTTTTATAACATAGTCTTTGTGCCTCTCTTTGCCTTTTTGTGTGTCCTATACTTGTGTCTGCCTTGCCATCTTTGTGTGCCTTATATCAGTGTCTCTCTTTCAATCTTTATGTGCCTTATACCAGCGTCACTATTTCCATCTTTGCGAGCCTCAGACCAGTGTCTCTCTTTCAATCTTTGTGTGCCTTATATCAGTGTCTCTCATTCCATCTTTGGGTGTCTTATATCAGTGTCTCCCATTCCATCTTTGAGTGCCCTATACCAGTGTCTTCTTTCCATCTTTATGTGCCCTATACCAGTGCCTTCTTTCCATCTTTGGGTGCCCTATACCAGTGCCTTTTTCCATCTTTAGGTTCCCTATACCACTGTCTTCTTTCCATCTTTATGTGCCCTATACCAGTGCCTTCTTTCCATCTTTAGGTGCCCTATACCAGTGCCTTCTTTCCATCTTTGGGTGCCTTATACCAGTGCCTTCTTTCCATCTTTAGGTGCCCTATACCAGTGCCTTCTTTCCATCTTTAGGTGCCCTATACCAGTGCCTTCTTTCCATCTTTGGGTGCCCCTATACCAGTGCCTTCTTTCCATCTTTGGGTGCCCTATACCAGTGCCTTCTTTCCATCTTTAGGTGCCCTATACCAGTGTCTTCTTTCCATCTTTGGGTGCCCTATACCAGTGCCTTCTTTCCATCTTTGGGTGCCCTATACCAGTGCCTTCTTTCCATCTTTGGGTGCCCTATACCAGTGTCTTCTTTCCATCTTTGGGTGCCCTATACCAGTGTCTTCTTTCCATCTTTGGGTGCCCTATACCAGTGCCTCCTTTCCATCTTTAGGTGCCCTATACCAGTGTCTCCTTTCCATCTTTAGGTGCCCTATACCAGTGCCTTCTTTCCTTCTTTATATGTCCAATACCAGTGTTTTCCTTTCCATCTTTGTGAGCCCTATATTTGTGTCTGTGAAAACAGAATCTTTTATTTGTATCCATATATTTCAGATAGTAATCTGCAACCTTAACAGTCCATTTTAGACTATAAGGCTCTGATAGTATCAATTGGCTTAAAAGAAAGCTAACGGTCAACAAGTACAGAAGTGTGTCCAGTACGTGTCTGTCTCTGCCTTTTATCTGCGTCTATCTTTGAGTCTATCCATCAGATTTTCTAGACAGATTGAAAGCTGTTGCCAGTGTAGGAATCCTTCTACATGGTTTTTTGTTGAATGTTAAAATTTGGAGTGTCTGGATTTGATACATTAACAAAATATCATTACAGGGTTGCTCGTAATTTGGCCGTCTAGAATAATCACACGATTTTCGTTGAAGGAATAAAATTCAGTAGAAAAGACAATGTAGTTTCAACAAATAAACATTAATTTAATGTAACAACAAAAATAAAAGCAGTTGATGATAGATTGGAAAATAATGTCTTTTTGTTTGGATTAATAAAGTTCTGAAATAAAATATAAACTCTCTTTGTGTACGTATGTGAGAAACAATAAAATGATGTGATACGTGTGTTTGTATGAAAAAGTCAACATGTGTGTGCGTGATTCATTGTAAAGCGGATACAAGAGATAGTAAGAAATTTTTTTCTTACTGTTGGCGGCGTTGCCATGGTCTGAAGTTTGTCGACGCTGTTGCTTTTAGTATCGGCTCATGAAGATCATAAGCAAGAGTTGCATGAAGTTTGTTGACAGCTGTGTGTATCCTGTTTGGAAACGTTTTGGTTTGGTTTATTTTGTTTTACGGCATATCAACCTCAATGGGTTAATTAATGCTGACAAAAATTTTTATTGCTGGTAATATTTAGTTTTCCCAAGAGTATTAGCATGTAAGTGAATATAATGGATTCAACTAGAATTTGAACTCAGCTCTCCGTTTCCTCAATCCAAGCCGCTATCCATTACTCCACCATGCCTCCTCTAAAATCTAAATGAATTAAATTTGTTTTGTGTTGGTCAAAATTGGTTATAAATATATTTGGACACTTGGTCTTTGTCACATTTATTTCTACTTAATAAAAGGAATGTTGGTTGTGTTATCCTATTAATGTTTTTAACTTAAAAGTTTGACAGACAACATTAATTACCAATAATATGTAATGTTTAAGATTAACCCGAGATATATCTTCCTGGAAGTTTTATATTTTATTTCATCTTATAAGGACTTCAAATATGACAGGCTGAGTGAATTTAGTAAGACCTGTTTCAATTTATTTGTCATGAAGAAATGAAAATATACCATTTGCAATAAAATGTTCATAAGATAGTTCCTTTGCATTTAATTTTAATGGTTCAAAGATTGCCAAGCAGAATGGTTGGCCCTTACGTATATTCACCTCATCAAATCTGGCCCACTTTGAAAAAAGTTTGGACATACCTGGCTTAAATGAAGTTGCAAGAATGGATAGTATTCTTAGATCAAATAAAGTGGATGTGCAGGTATGTCCAAATCCACCCCAGATTTCATATGGCTCCCATCCTCTGTCATAGAATGTATCATTTATGGCCTGCCAATATTGTCAATCAGAGTATGTAAAGTACACACCTAAGAAATACAATTTCATTTTTTACCAAAAGATGGCAGCAGCACTGTGCAGTCACCCTCTGGAGGTGTGACCCTAACCCTTGGCCTATTCCAGCTAATTTCTAAAATCATACTGCAGTTCAAATCTCAGTATCACTCTTCACATTAGTGCAGGAAAATTATTTGTCTTGGTCATCTGAGATGAATAAATTCTAAAATCTAAGTAAATTAAATTTGTTTTGCGTTGGTCAGAATTGGTTATAAATATATTTGGACACTAGGTCTTTGTCACTTTGTTTTCTACTTAATAAGAGGAATGTTGATGGTGTTAGCCTATTCATGTTTTTAGCTTAAAAGTTTGACAAACAGCATTAATTACCAATAACGTAATGTTTAAGATTAACCCAAGATATAACTTCCAGGAAGTTTTATATTTTATTTCATCTTATAAAGACTTCAGATATGACAGGCTGAGTGATTTTAGTAAGTAAGACCTGTTTAAATTTATTTGTCATGAAGAAATGAAAATATACCATTTGCAATAAAATTTTCCAAAGATAGTTCATTTGCATTTAATTTTAATGGTTCAAAGAATGGCAAGCAGAATCGTTGGCCCTCACGTATATTCACCTCATCAAATCTGACAATCTTTAAAAAAAAATTTGGACACCCCTGTTTTAGACACTACTACAAGATATCATTTTTTTTTTTTTTTTTTTTTTTGCTTTCATGCAACTAAAATGAAAATGGTGGATTCATTTTGTCAATTACCATTCCCAAGAAAAAAGAGAATTTTTTCCAGAGTTTAATTAAACTCAAATTATTTCATGATTTTAATTTGATAAAATTTTCAACACAGGAACATCCACCAGGGCATTCAGTTCTTAATTTGTTATCATTTATTTTTGTGTTTCGTTTGAAAATATCAAAGTAGGAAAATTTTGTACCAAGAAATTGAGGAAGAGTAAGTTTCTAAATATGGAGAATTCTCATCTTCCTTCTCTCCCACATTCTCTTTTCATTTTTTCATTTTTTTTTCTTTTTCTCCTACTCTCCTGTCTCATCTCACTCCCCCTATCTCTTCTCCCTCTGTCTATTTCCATCTCCTCCTCTTTCCTCTCTCTATTTTCCCCCCACCCTTGCTACTACCTCTTTCTCCATCTATTTCCCACTCTCTTGCTTCTATTTCTTTCTTTTTTCCTCACTGTCACATATTTGCCTCTCCTTCGACACTGTCTCTCTCTCTCTATCTCTCACTCTCTTTCCCTCTCCTTTGCCACTGCCTCTCTATTTCCCTCCTTTCCCTCACCAGTTTCTCTCTCTTTTTCCTTCTACCTCTCTTTATTTCCCTCTCCCTTGCTGCCTCTCTCTATTTCCCTCTCTCTCCTTATCTGTTTCCCTCTCTTTCTCTCTCTGTGATACCTCTTTTTTTCCTCTCTCTCACCACTGCCTCTCACTTTTCCCTCTCATTCGCCACCCATGTCTATCTAGTTTTTTCTCCCTCACCCTATCTCTCTCTCACCTCCTCTATCTTTCCATCTCCTTCCACAAAAATATGATAGTTAATATTTTCATCTCAATTTAAAACCAGCTTGTTAACCATTACTCTATTATACTCAAATAGTGATTTGCTTTAACAAAATTTGGGGTGCTGAAAATGTTTCTGCTTAACCCACTCCCCAAAATATGATTGATTCTCATAATTTTTTGATTTTTTATAGGGGGAATTTCATAATTAAGATGGTTTTAAAACAGAAAATAATTATATATATATATATAGAGAGAGAGAGAGAGAGAAAAATCAAAGGAAGAGGCTATAGTGGTTCCAATGAGAGAAAAGTATGTATATTAAAAAGAAGAGAGGTACAGCAAACGTTTTTGGTTGTAATGTTGATTGTTTTAAAAAAATATTATGCTTTATTTTCCATAATTTTACTACACGTGTTTCTGGTCTCGTGACCCTCTTCAGGTAAAAGGTGGAGATTTCCACATATCATTAAAAATGATTAATTTTTTTTCTCCTTTATGTTTTTCGATGTTAAATATTCTCGATATGAGACATTCTCTTTTTTTGTGTTAGTAATCCGAATTTCTTTCTTGAACTGACAGTGAAGAGTTCTGCGCGAAGGGTCATCAAACAATTAAGATTGGTCCGAGAGAAATGACGAATTAGTTATCAGTATCTTATCTTTTAATGTTTTAATGACCCCTGTGTGTTCTTAGATCTATTTTCATTTTCATGTGTTTCTCTCATCACGTGTGTATATATGTGTATATTCCCTCTCCATACATACACACTGTCTCACTACGAGGAATTAATAAACACATTTATACACATACACACACTCACCGTCCCACTACAAAGAATCAGTACATACACACACATGCACATACATACACACGTATGTGCACACACATACTTCCCAAGTTACATGGAACCAGTATACACATGAACATATATATACATACACACATACTAAGTTGTGTGGGGTTTGTGTGCATGCCCATGAATAGTTCCTTGCTTTTGTCAACATATATATATATATATATATATATATATATATTTTCGTGCTCCAGGGATACTTACATGTGAGCATGCATGCATGTCTGTGAGTGGTTTGATCACTGTATTTGGTCATCATGTGTGCATGTTGTGTGCTTTCATGTGTGGGGTTATGAAATGGGAACAAAAATGGCACCAACATATGCCACCCTAACATTAGCTTACCTAGAAGAAAACCTCTATGAATGGATAGAAACAATTATATATGGTGTAAATATAAAAACCCAATTCACTAAATCTTGGAAAAGATACTTAGATGATTGCTTCATTTTTTGGAAATTCTCATGGAGTGATATTAGCCAGTTCCACACTCTACTTCAAAACTTACATCCAAAAATCAAATTCATGCAAGAATATAGTTTTAACAAATTACCATTTTTAGATATACTCATTAGAAATAAAAACAACCACATAATCACAGATATCTACCACAAACCCACAGACACCCAACAATATCTTCATTTCAAGAGCCATCACCTAATAAGCTGCCTAAAATCCATCCCCTATTCTCTAGCATGTAGGGTTTGTACTATAGTGATTGATAAAAACCTCCGAAAATCCCACCTAGAAGAACTACATAAAACTATAATAAAATGAGGCTACCCTACAACACTAATAAACAAAGGTTTTGAACTCGCAAAAAATTCCTCTAGACCAACTTAGAAATAAATGAAACATAACGTCGAACAAACTCTAATATATGTCTCAACATACAACAAAAACAATCCAGAAATGTTCACAGAAATTACAAAAAATCTAGACCAAGAATAATAAACTGAAAAA